GGGTGGTTGGGTGCTGATGCCTGCCGTCCCTCCTCAGGTGACAGGTTTTTGCAATGAGCAGGCATCTTCTATGCCTCTCCTCTAGGAGACACGTATATTTTCAATTATCAGTGTATCTTTTAATATTGGCAATATATATTTTATATTAGCTGCATATATTTTAAATTAGAGATGTGCTTAGTATTGTGAGAGTGCTGAAACTGAAGATGGCAGGATGCAAAGGCAGAACAAGTCTTGATTGCTAGTAATACAGGCAGACACTGTGGGATACGTCTTCTTCAAGAGGCTGTTGGGCATCAATTTTTGATGTTTTGTGCTACTGGTTGTTTGAAGTCCTCACAATCCTGCATACCTTTTTGATGTGTATAGAATTGCAAAATGTCCTGAATTGGGAGAGATACACGTGCATCATCAAGTCAAACTCCTGCCTCCACACAGCACCACCCAAAATTCAAACTCTGTGTCTGAGAGCTTTGTCCAAACACTCCATGGACACCCATCAGTCCTAGGTCATGACTACTGCTCTGAGGAGACTAAGGTAGAATGTTGAAAGGTTAGAGGAAACTTCAGGGAAGACTGGTAAGAATGGCTGTAAAGGCTTGAAAACTTGTGTCATAGAGGAAGAGGTGAAGATGTGCTGAAACTCGTAAGTGACAGTAGTGTGGATCAATCACTTGGTCCTACGTGTGGGACTAAGAAGTGAGCTGTGCAGGAAACAAAAGGGCGACAGTAAATATTTATTCAATTTGGCAGATGCATCAAGGTTTTGTAGTTGGCATTTGAAAAAAAACAAAAGCAGAACATGCAAGAAATTATACAAGTTCATAATTCATCATGTTTAATCACTTGTATAATTTAATGAAGGTTGTTTAGAAAATCCATCACTGGAAATACTGAAACAAAATGAAGTGGTATTTTTCTCTCAAACTATGTTTTAGTTTAAACACATGAGAAAGAGTTATTTTCATCCTAGCCAGGGCCAGTACAGAAATGAACAGTTTTGGATGAAATAAAAAAAAATACTAGAGTACACCAAAAGTAATGCTTCCTAGTTTATCACATTTGGCTCATGATGTCACAGGAGGATGTTGGTGATATGGCAGTAAAGATCGAATCTTCCCACTGATATTCTGCTTCATTTTGCTGTCATGTGACAGATGGCAGCAGAGCCATAATCTGACAAGTTGGTGTCTGACATGAAAGTGCATGTGAAGCAAAGGTTTGTAAGCCTTGAAGCCTCCATGCAGAAAAAAATGGTACCCACTGACACTCATCAGAGCTTGCTGAACGTTTATAGAGATCAAACAGTGGATGAGAACACAATGAGGCAGTGGCTAATATGTTTCAGCAGTGGTGACAGTGGTTCACCTCCACTGCTGCAGGTTTTTACAAGCACAGCATGCATGTTCTTGTTCACTGCTGGCAAAAATGCAAAGGTAATGGTGATGACTGTGTTGAAAAATTGTGGTTTTTTAGCTGAGACTTTACTCTATCAAACAGTGTTATACTTTTTGTGGTATATGCTGTAGTTTGTGTGGAAATAAGAGGCATTACTTTCAGAGCGACCTGTGTACAACGGTAGAACTGCGTGTGATACTAGTGTGCTGCTAGAAAGCATACATTACATGCATGAGGTTCCTACTGGCTATGGCTGTGACACAGACCTGCAGTCTCTCTTTCCTGCTTCATGAAACCCCAAGTCATTCACATCTGGTTGAAGCTGACATAAACAAAGATTCAGTGTGAATGTATGAAACAGAGAGTATGGAGCAGTAATTAAATGAATTTTCATTACTGTATTTTGGACTTAATGAGTCCATGAATGGTGGTGAGGATGAGTTTCTTCTACTGGACTAACAGCACTTTAATAACAGGCCTGAAATCAACAGGCTAGACATTCCAGTGATCATGTTTACCTATTTGTTTCTCTATGTTACTGTTAAAATATGAAAAGTTAAACTTTGCATTGGATTATGTTAACAAAAATATGTAAATAAATAAATAAATGTTATCAATAAGTCATGATCTCAACAAATTGGTTTTTTTTTCCAGCATTTTTGAATGGAGTTTAACAATATGCTCTATTCATGCTTTTTTGTTTAAATGTAGATATATAACAATAAATAGAAGTTGACTTCAGAGGATGTACTATTTATTCATCTATTTATTCCATTAGATTTTTCATCTTGGTTTCACTTCCTCAGTTTTTTTTTTGTTCCCTCCCCCCTCCTATGTATCTACCTGTTCCCATATCCTCCTTTCTGCTTTTCTTCTATTTGGGTATATATTCTTTACATCCACTGTTTTGGTCATAGTATAGCGTATAGAATGTATGCAGCACACAGAAAGCAGTAATTTTCTATATGTAAATGGCTTAATAAAAAAAAAATAACCAAATGATGGCAACAGCAAAGGATGTTAGCATAGCCAATGTCCATCAAGAGTTTCACAAAACTTGAAGCATTTTAAATGACATTCTCTGGCCTTCAGACACTTACAAACTTAAGGAATGCTAAGTACCAGGATAATAGATGTTGTAGAACATGGGATCACTGTGTTTCATAAAGTGAAATTAAGATTTTACGTATTTTCTGTTCCTTAGTTTTAGTCTGTAGGAGACAGAAAAAGACATGGTACTGTGGGTATTGAATGTCAGTGAATAATAGAAGCTTTCAGATGACAAACACTGTTTATAAAAAAAAAAAATAGTGCTGCTGTAGAAAGGAATATTTTTTCAATTTCTTCTGAAGCAGAATTCTCTAGAGCTTGTATTATTTATAACCTAGGATATGACAAAGTCATCTTGAGTTAATTTGACTGAAGAATTTTTTTTTTTTCTAAAGTGGAGTTTAATCTTTTTGTTAGTTCATCAGCTTATTCTTAAAATTTATATATCTTTCCTACCCTGCAAGCTTTCAGCCTACACACCAATTAACTTTAAATCCATCTAAATATGATTAAGACATTGATTCCTAAAATAAGATGAATTGTAGGGAGAAGGGATAGCTCTTGTGTTGGATGCATTGAACTTTGTGTTCACGTGTTGTATCTGCTCTGTGGATTTAGGAAAATATCTTGAAAATAGGTGAATAAAAATATTGAAGTTTTACCTCTTCCTCCTATTGTATATCAGCATAAAATGCTGAGAATGCACTTAGCCTGTATTCTAACAGGGTGAATTCTATTTACCTTTAAAGCAATTAATATGAAGGCAAAATCTCTTCAAATTCTTACAGTATTATATTAATTTTATTTCTGTGACCTCTAGATTCATATTTTTAAGAATATTACTTTTTTTTTTTTTCTGACAGGAAGTGAAAAAATGAATGCACTTATTTCAGCTTAATATTTTTTAATGTAGGAGATGAAAGGGAAATATTAATCTATCTTTCTAGTAGCCTATTTCCTACCAAGGTTTATGAACTCCCTTGTAATTTATGTTAGAAGTAGCTCCTGTAGATAAAAATATTTTCCAATTTTCTTTGGCACCTGTACAGAAAGCAGACAGTGAGGCATCACCCTCTTTCACAAAGAAGTTACCAATGGAGAACATTTGTATAAGCAGATTTTCAGTCTGAAGAGATTCAGGATCTGCTTCTAAGAGCTGTGTTGAAGATTGCTCCAAGAAGCACAAATACTGCTAGTAAGTTTCAAGTTGATTCATAGGGATCCCCATTTCTCTTGAAAAGCACAGAGACAAAACAGAAAAAATCTGGAATTTCTCTACTTCTTTCTGCAATAGGTATTGCTTTCCCAATGCCAGTCATTACTTTTTCAGCAAGGCTGAAGGGATTCTTTCAGTTAGACAGTGTGGCCGCCTGTTGGGGAAAAACACTATAAAATAAAAGAAATCAGAAGTAGCAATGTATAAAGTGATGATACCTTGAGTACAAGCCAGGTAGAAATGCAAACACATGAAACAGTAAAAGTTCAAGTCCTTGTTCCAGCTTTTTGTATATGCTCATTTTAGTGTATAGGCTTGCAATACTATGCTTTGTTCTCTCCCTGAATTAGTAGTTCCCTCTTCTGCTGACAGTTTTATTCTTGCCCAGTTACTCCTTTCAATCAGATAAAATCCATCCCTCATTTCTAACAGGCTGGCTTATTCAAATCATAGTTTGGTCTTTACTAGGTAGATATTGTATTTAATAGGGGAACAGGTTGCACACTAAGGCATAACAAGTAATCTAATGATTATAGTTAATCATTATATTACTTGTCAGGAACATTTAAAAATAACAACACAAATGTTTGAAGGAGGTATAAGTAAACCGCACATTTTAAGAATTTCCTGAAGTTTATTTGCCAAGTGGTCACATTTGTTCTACATTACTGGCTTTGTACCATCATTCTTACAACAAAAAAAAACATCTACTCTTGAAAAAGGATGCCAGCAATTGCCACTGCTAAATTAGAGCTGAGAACGTATGTTACCTGGAAAAGATTATGCTGTGGTCACACATGGTCACAGATCACACGATGGACATGCCAGACATCCCCGACATCAGGCAGGCTGTTCACCCACAGGAGCCACAGCCAACCTCCTGCCTGCCATTTGTAGGACAGAATCCTCAGAGCTCAGCATTCAGCTAAATTCTTTATCAAACAAACGTTAGAACTGTGACTAAAATGGCAGCAGCTGGTAATGTTTGTTAATTAATTACAGATAAGGTACGTACATTTACCTAAAATTGGTTTTGCCATTATTTTGTTGGGAGGAAGGGGGAAGTTTACTGATGTCGCCTGAGAGGAAATCAGCCTTTCTGAAAGCAGAGGAGCTTTAAACAGCAGCGAAAATTGATCTGCTTTACCTAAGCTACTTTTTGGAAACAAACTGTATCTGTTTCCACTGGGCAAGTTTGATACTTGTGTTGGTGTTCCCCTGGAGGCCAGCAGGCCATCAGTGTGCGCTGGCTGTTGGGGAGGTGTGGCAGAAGCTGGAGGTGGCACCCGGGGCATGACCGTTACCAGGCCAGCGGGTAAACCGCCCCACTTGCACCATGGCGGGTCGGCCACAGCCCGTCTACCAGGGGAGTTTCACGGACAGATTTCCCCACATCTCGGCTGTGAGTGAAACCTACACGCTTACTATGCCTTACCAGGGTCATAGTCTGGCCTTGAGGCTGAAACAGAGGCAGCTGGTGGGGCCAGTGGGCTCCTCTCACTGCAGTCCTGCCTCACCCTCAAAATAAAATAAAAAAAAAACAACAACCTTTCTTTTTAATGGAGTGGGAGAATTAGCCATCTTGTACGAGGTGTTGGAGCATTTGGCTTAGTTACACCTTGTTTTTTTTGGTTTTGTTGCTTAGGCTGGGAAGTTGTTTCCAACTGGTGATACGGCTGCACAGTGCCTCACTGAAGCTTTACCCAGGGTGAGTGTGCTTTTGAGATTCTCACTTTTAAGTTACTGTATGATTTCACGTTAGTGATCGTGCTCTCAAGCCCAAAATCTGTTATTTCTCCTACCTCATAGTGTTTTTTAAAATAAAGAACATCAGTGAAACCACGGTCATATTTTTCTACAGCTATTGTTTAAAGGGATCACAGAAAATAGCTGGTAGGCATGTAGAAGTTTCTAATTTTTTTTTTTTTTTCTGTCTGTATGTTTTACAAAATTCATCATACCCTGTTATGGTGGATTAAAGAAGATTGTTTTACACCACCATTTTTCTCTGTCGATACAATTACAGTGATTATTTTGAAGAGTTGTTATGACTTCTGATAGAGGACCTTCTCCTTCATCAAGGTTGCCCTGTTAGAGTTGTGTTTCCCATGCTCTCTTCCCAGTCTCCTTGAAGAATTAGAAACTGCTTCCTTTCACTGACAGCTCTCCATTTAAATGAGTGCATAAAAAAAACCAACAAAACAAGACGGTGGTTGAAGTAATTTCTGAAATTGCTTAATTGATGGGGGAATTGTTGTAGATTAGGTTAAATGTTTCTTAAGTTGGTAAATGCGACATATATAAGGAAGCTTTCATCCACTTAAAGCCTAAATCAGAAAGGTGAAGCTTAGATACTCTTTCCTGACTTCTATTGGTGATTTGATTAAATTTAGACTGGGTTGTGTTGACCTTTTGTTCAGAGTATCTGCACCTGCAGCAATGCAGGCGTGTGTTATAGTCCTGAAACATCTTTCTGTTTTGCTCATGCATCTGTGGAATCACACTGAATTGGCTTTTTGCTATTGGATTATGGAAATCTTCTGTAAAATTGTTATTTTCTTTGCCTTACATATAGCCTGCTACTCCAGCTGTTGTGAAGAAGTTTCACAATATGACAAATCCAGCTCCTGGTGCTAAAAGAATATTTTATGGCAGAGCAGATGATCCTGATCTTGCAACTCACTTGACACACGGCATAACATCAGGTTCTTCAGTTGCTGTAAGAATGTGACTTGTTGAGCTCTTAGCAAGTAAACTATTATCAGAGATTGTTCAGCAATTTTTTATGTATTCTTTCTTTTGAGTTGTAAATGATTTTGTTAGTTAAAAAGTGCTATTTTGGACATGTCAATCTATTTTGTGTATATTACTCAGAAATTGTTTATGTAAGATGTAATCAAACAACTGAAGAGCTTCTGGTAATTTTATTCAAATTTCTGAAAGTAGTTATTTGTTAGTAAAATAACACTTGCTGGTATGTCTTGTCAGCAGGGCTTGTAAATTAACAGTTTTCAGTTTAGCAAATGAAGAAGCTTAGGCTTAGTCTCTAGGTTGGAAAACCTAGGACCTGATAATTGAGGATGTTGACTAGCACATTCATTAGGCATATCCAATATAATAGTAACAATTAAAAAAATTGGACTTGTACTGTACCTCCTCAGAAGTTTTACGTTGAATAGATTGCCTAATTTAGTCTGTATCATCTGTGGAAGACTTTGTATTATTAATTAAATGTTAACTGGAGGAAGAGTTGGAGGCAGTGAGTTTTCTAAGCATGGATTTGGATCATTATATCTATTACTACATCTTTTTCTCCCCTATCCAATATGTATCTATATAACATTCACCAAATATTTAATAACAAATCCTCTTTAGGGTCCCCATTATTTTGATGGCCAGTCTGAAAAACTGTATGATTTGAGAAGATCAGTGTAGCCCTTCTGATATTTTTTGAACCTTTTTTACTTTTTTGATATTTTATTATTCTCTTTGTGTTGACCTAAGCTTACAAATAATTGCTATTGACCCAAGCCTTCTGGGGAGACATTGTGTCCAAATTAGTGTTAAGCTTTGAGAAATCCTCCTAAACTCCTTTCTGTTAATACTTCCTTTTGGATCGCAGTATTAGTCTGCATCTTAAAATATGCATGGGCAGAACTGAGAGTAGATGTTTAGTGAATGGACTTAACCACTAGATGACAGATGTCTTTCCTCATAAGCACTAGGAGACATTCAAAAGATGTTATAGCTATATCATTTTCACGCTTCAATTTTGTCATATTGTAATTTGTAATTTGACAATGGCTTCTAATATACATTAAAAGCAGAAAAACTATAGTCTGAAATTTTATTTATCAACAAATGAAAAATCTTGTATAAAATTAAAAAGTTCTGTCTTGGAGTCTGTGTTTTATTTTGCTGGACATTTAGCATAGCACTGATTATTAATGACCTTATCTAACAATACAGTTCTGTATTACAACTTGTTAGAAGAAATTATGAGTCTAATAATCTAAAACATCTTTAGAAGACTTAGTATCAATCTGCTGTTCTTGTGGATGTGAGGAGTTAGCTGTCCTGATGTGTGAAAGATTAAAATTTGCTGGTTTTCTTGTCTCTTTTGTTGTTTGTGACATCTTTAGGCAGCTTCATTGATAAATCCACTTCCCAAAACTAATTTTCAACAAAAATTACAAGACAGAAAAGAGGCAATCTACTTCAGTAATCGTGAAGCACCTTTGGGCAGGTCACATGATCAATCTGCTATGTTACCCGAGGGCTTGGATATAATCAATACCACATTTGGAACAAAAATTATCCAAGGTAGGCAAAAGTAATGCTAAAACATACTTCTTGTAAATAAAAGATAGTATGCAATTTAATATTTAGCCTAAATTGTATGCTTCCAACAATTCTGGTTTAGCAGAAAAGTCATTACAAAAGATACTGAAAGGCATAAAAATGTACTGGTGTTTTTTCAGTTATGATAAACAAACAGACATCTGAAACATTTTGTAACTAATAGGGCTTTTTGCTGTGTAAAATATATTACCTTGACCTGTCAATCTTTCCTCCATATATGCAAGCAGATCACATTTGTGTTCACCATGTAGTCCCTTTGCAACATTTATATTCATCTCAGTTTCTGTGATTCTTGCTTTATTCCCATATTATCATGTTACAAGATTCCTATTGATTTTATTGATTTTCTGCAGGGATGATTTAAAAATGTCATATTTCCACTATTTCCACTATTTCCATATTTCCAAGTATTAGCATCTTCTCCAATAAATACAATTTCAGATTTAAAAACAAATCAACAATAAACCCATATATGTGTTCTTTTCTTTTCAGATACATCAGCTGGGGAGCTAATAAATCCTCCAAAAACTTTTGCAGAAGTAGATAAAGAAGCCAGAGAAGGACATGATTTGTATGTTGTGTCACACAATGATTATTATTCTGGTATGTTCACAATGATTATTATTCTGATCTGTTCGAAGGCTAGTAAGTAGCAACATAAGAAGACCTAATACAAATTTGAATCTCATTGCATCTTCAAAATATATCACACATTTTTGAGATGCAAGCAATTACTGTTTATTTGTTTATTAATATAATAGAATATAAATCATTTTGAAAGCAATAGTGGAAAAAAACAATCAGATATGCAACTGAGAAAAGTGCTCGTTTCTAGAATCGTAGGTTCATTGTCATTGTCAGTGTGTTAGGCATACACATAAGAGCTTAATGAAGGTGCTGAAAGACTGATTTTGGTTGGGAGCTATCTGAAAAACAAAGTATCCCCAAGAATGCAGAAACATCTAGATGCTCTGATTGCTCAGTGACTTCAGCGTTATCTATGCCTGTTATCTATGTCTGAGCAGTCTCAGGCTCAGAGGTGTATACTCTGCACCCAGACTGTCCCATTACTTTTTCTCCTGGTTCCTCTGTTACACGAGGATACGAAATTTAGGTCTTCTGTTCGGAGCTCGATATCAAGCTCTGGTTACTAGGAAGAATTTCAGTGTGCTCTCCGGCGCCCTGAAATGCAAATTCCTCAACCTGCTGCATAGTGCCTGTGAGTCTGTCCCACAGTCTTGGTTTATAGTCTTCCAGTGGGCTGTACCTACACTGCTTCAGGAGTTATACTTATTTGAAGTGTTCCTTAGTAGTTATCGTTTATCTTGTGGGTCTACGCAGGAACACTGGAAAATATGCAGCACGTACATTTGTTAGGCAACCACTTCTGTTTTTTCCATGTCCATCTTTTCCTCTTACATTTGAAACTTATGTTATGGATCTATAAAATTGGCATTACAGTAAAGTTGGCCATTGTGCTAGTACCAACAGTTTAGTAGGTGTTGGCTCAGAATGTAAGAAATTGTGAAATAGATATTTCAGTTGTAATAATGAATAATTTCATATGGAGGCTGTTTTTGGAGAAGTGAAATTATAGTACTGTGGTCTCTCACTGAGAAATTCTGCTTTTTGCAGAATATGGCACCATTGCTATAAATTGGCCAAACGTAATTTTCTTTCCTCTCCTCCCCAACTTTATTAGGTGTTTTAGTGGAATTATCTGTTTCGGTCTTCTTTATAACTTCTATCCACAAGACCATAGAGAAGTCAAGACAAGAGCAGACAAACTAAGCTGCAGGAAAACAAACTGTTTTTATGTAAAAGGGAATAGAAAATCAATGATATGCTTCAGTTTTGAACAAAACATAAATGTTCCCTGCAACAATACAACCAGAGGAAGGCTTTATTAGTAAGCAGGCACTGATAATTTTTTTAAAAAAATTTAACTTGCAATTCTTTTCAAAAAGCAATTGAAAATGCAGAAAAAAAATCATGGAATCATAGAATGGTTTGGGTCGGAACAGACCTTTAAGATCATCTAGTTCCAAACACCCTGCTAAAGGCAGGGACATCTCCCTTTAGACCAGTTTGCTCAAAGCCCCATCCAGCCTGGCCTTGAATGCTTCCAGGGAGGGAGCATCCACAACCTCCCAAATCATTTTCCTCAGGGCTGCTCTCAAGGCATTCTCCACCCAGCCCGTATCTGCACTTGGGATTGCCCCAACCCGGATGCAGGATGGTGCACTTGGCCTTGCTGAACTTCATGAGGCTGGGCCCACCTCTCAAGCCTGCTCAGGATAGCATCCCTTCCCTCTAGTGTGTCGACTGCACCACTCAGCTTGGTGTTGTTTGCAAACTTGCTGAGGGTGCCCTTGATCCCACTGTCCATGTAATCTACAAAGTTGTTCAATAACTCCAGTCCCAACACTGATCCCTGAGGAATGCCACTCATCACTGGTCTCTACTTGGATGAGTGGCACTTGTGAAATGCCATTTTTCTTCTGTGATGGGTTACAGATGCTTGTTACTCTGTTACACAGAGTACTGAAGTGATGTTCTTGTACATAAAACAGGCAAATTTGGATTAACAGATTCAGAAACATGTAGTGCAATATCTTTTTTCCCACTGACTTTACTGCAAAATTCCTACTAATTCAACATAGGAAATATCTATCCGAAAGTGCAGCAAGTCAAAATACTTTTTTGCTTAATTGTTTTAATAAATAACACATTGAATGGCATTTGTTTCTGCTTAAATGCAGAATTAAAAAGTGGTTTCATTTGCATAATTAAACAATCTACTATTTTTTCATTAATTCTGTTAGGATTTTCTTTTGTCTTTATTTAGACATAAAAAGCATTTTGGACATCCAGCTATTTTATAACTCAAGTAGTTTTGTGGCTTTTTTGTTGCCTTTAGTCTGCTCTTTTGACAATGAGATTAATCTTAAATACTTAAGTGTTGTATGAATTACACAAATTTCTTGTCTTTTATTGAGAATAATAATTAGGAATTTATTTTTTTCTGTATTATTTTACTTTTTTTCTTTATTATTTTATGAATGAATATGCTGCTTTTTCTTGTTGTTGTTTTTGCATATTTCTCCTGCTGAAGTGTTTTAAACAAGTTGAAACAATTTTTTTTTTTCTTTAATAGGGGAAGCAATAAATAGGAAGTATGACTCACCAAACTTCAACAAGTCTTATGTGTATGGAATAGAAACCCCTCACTTTGAAGATGGACGAAATGTATCCAAATCCTTAAATTGGCTCTATGATTGGCAATTGTAAGTTACAGTAAGTTTAGTAAATTAGCAGTATGAGTTTTAAAAAAGAGTCTTCGTATTGAATATAATTTTTTTATCTTGCTATCCTTCAGTTTGTTAGATTTATTGAACTGAAAGGTAAATGCAAGGACTAATTTTCAGAATAATTTATTCAAATCTATTCTGCTATAGTATGAAGACATAAAACTTGGCATTTCCTTCATGTCACATAAAGATATCTTTGATTTTTGAAATATAAGAATTTTCAGTTCCTAAATTGTATTTCCCTTGCATAAAGTTGCTGTTTCCTTTTAGTATATGTGTTTTTTTAATATTATTGAGTGGTTGTAGAATATTGTTAAGCAATTGCTTGTGAGTTCTCTTAACATTCACAGGAAAAGAGCAGCAAAAATTGTGTCCAAAAGAATTGATGACTTCAAGGAAAAATTTCAGCCTCAGATTGGAAAAGTCCTTGATCCGTAAGTAAGCAAAGATACCTTCCAAGAACAAAATTTATACACACTTTCCAAGCCTCTAGTTTCTTTTTCTGTCTTAGATAAGCAATATAGATTTGTGTTCTAAGCTTCTACTGTAGTGCTTAATTACAAGATGGGACTCTGCGTGCCCTCACTGTGAAAGTAAGTAATGAAGGCTGTGTTGTGGCTATATCATGAAGTGTTTATTTATTTAGTCGTTTGCTTTTGGGAAGATTTGAAAGGACTGAAATGTCTCGTATTGTTTGGAAACAACCGTTTTGCTTACTCTGACACTGGATTTGCTGATCTGCTTTAGTCCATCTGTATTCAGTTGGATGTGAAAGTAAACTGTAATATTATCTAGCAGCATGTACTTAATCATATTGTTACAGTGCTTCATGAACCTCGGGTGATTTCCAACAACTGTTTTGGTTCTCAAAGGAGTGCTTATGCTGAACTGTGGTAGTCTTATGGCACAGCATGATCAGGATCCAGCTGTGCTACTAAACTGGTGTTGCTGAATGCAAAGATTGTCTTTACAGATGTTTCATATTTCTTTACAACTGTCTGGGGACCCAGAACGTTATTGACTTTTGTACCAAATTTAATTTTGCATTCAAAATCACAGGCTCAAAGTGACTCTGATGGATTATGCTGATAGTTCCCATTAGGAGTGAGCACGTTTCCCTTTCTGTAGAGAGAGCCAGTTTATCCTCTGTCCTTTCTGTCGTCACTTTGAAGTAGACTTAGATTGTGAGCTGTATAAGGCAGTGTGATCAGTCAGGGAATACAGATTGCTGTACAAGGTCAAATCCAGCACTAATTCTACGGGAAAGGTGTAACCTAACAACATTTAATCATATGTGTAGTATGAAAAGGAGAAAAACGCACGGTAGTATTTCAGTTACCACGCTTCCATCTCTGTAGTTATGTGCTTTTTGTTTGTTGTTGTTGTTTTCAGAAGCAAGCACTACTCCTCTTTTCAGTCTTGACAGACTTCTAATTCATGTAACAAAATTGTAATTGTTAAACACGAAGATAAAATGAACATTGCATCTTCTTCAGATGAAGAAATAAGTTCTTAGAGTCATCAACATCATCTCAATTTTCTATTAAAAAAATGGGGTCAGGTTTTCTGAGTGGATATTTGCTTTGTTGCTATTTTGTATTGCTACTTTGTAGAAAACGTTAGGTGTGAAAAAGTAGATGTAAATAAATCTTTCTACTGTTGTCAAAAGTGGTTTATTTTGGAGACACTTTTTCAGATGGAGATCTGGTTTGTCCTAAATAATATCTGTCAGGTATACTATAAAGCATTTCTCACTCTTTAATTTCTATCATTTTTGTAGAAAAACAATTTATTTTAACATTCATATGCTTTTTCCTATTACCTTTTTGAATACAAGTAAATATGTTTACACTTAGTTCTGTTTAACAGCCAATTTTCTAAATGTATATAGCAGGATGCTTTTCTGCAATTATAACTTTAAAGCAGTGTACTAATGAAAACAAATCCAAGTTAATTATGTATATAATTCCTAGTTATATAACAGGTGAGCATGTTTCTTTAATGATGACTTACAGTTTATTTTAGCCACTAATAAACTATTTGACAAATAACAAAGAAATGTGCGTATTGACAGTATAGCAGAAACAATGAATGTTCCTGCAGACCATACCTTTGGAATGTTACTCCGTCCAGATGAATATGGTAAGTCTTACAGTGGCAGAATAAAATCTTAACTTGTTGATGAAACTATGCTGAAGTAATATGGTATATAGTTTTCAAAAACTCCTAAGGATAACACTAAAGTTTTGGAGGGGTGATTTGAGAAGAAATGAAGTAACTTTTTATTATTTTCTTCTAGTTAGTATTTTTTTAAGCTTTTGTATCTGAGGCAGGAGAGTGTGAGAAACTCATATTGACATCTAAGTGACAAACTAAAAATGGATATTTGCATCAATTATATGTCTTTCCTCACAATGGTTTTTCTAGTATGTTTTCACAAGAGTAAAAATAACAAACAATAGTTGAGGAAAAATAGGAATGTATAGACATTGGTAGGGAGACAGAAAATGGAATGAGGGGGAAAAAAAAGATTAATTTTCATTGTGACAAAATTTTGAAAGCTGCTGAACTCAAATAACAGTCGTTAGAATTTCTGATATTTTGGTATAATTATTAATGACTTGGAAGCTGCAGCAAAGGAAATTGCTGCAAATAGTTAAGCAACAAAAATTAAGTGGTTCAAATTTATTTAAGTCGTTCTTTATTTATTTAAGTCAAGACCAGAGCACTTATTTTAAATTCTGCGTAAGCCTGTGTACCTGCTTTATTCTGTTGGGTATTAAGTGACATCTTATATGTGTAGGCATGCTTGCCTTATAAGGAACTTCAGAAGGAACTGAACAAACAAAAGAAAGCAGAATGACAGCAAAAATTAATTTTTAACATATAGAAAATAATGCATGTATATTCCTGTTTGAATGGGGTTAGGTGAACTACACTTATTTGCTAGTTGGACTCTGAATTTCTTGCAGTCCATATTGCCTTCAGTGTTGTAGTGGGGACTTGGATAAAAATTGTAGATCAGTGTGTCAGAGTGTTTGAAAATGCCAACGGTGTTAAAATACATAGAAAATTGGAAGAATTACACAAGAATAGTGCCAAGAACAGTTTTGCCTTTTAGAAATCAGTGATATTGAAGCCCTTGCAGGTATTACATTGTATTTTCTACTGGTTCTTGTGATTATCCTGAAACATGACAAGCTGGTAGTGATGCATTAATAATGTATTTTATTTTGTTCTCAACTATTTGGACATTGAGTAACTCTTACTATATTATGCTCTAAAGATGTTTCAAAATATTCAGCATTAACTGCATGTCAGTAGTGAAAATGTGTGGACTATTTGATCTTTTAATGAGATGGCCTTATCAAATATTCTGCACTGAGTAAAATCAGCATCTTGAAATTAAAATTCTTCTACTCTAGACACTCAGTCGTTTTTTAAAGTGTCTATTTTCTATATATGTGTAACTAATCGAGGAAGTGCTTTTATAGGCGTTGGAGATCTTCTTCACTGTAGGGTTCCAAGTGAGTTCCTCCGTGGCAAAGACAGAGAGAGAGCTGTCTTAGCTGCAGTTAGACAGTGTTTGAAGAAAGCTAACTATGAAAATTTTGACATGTTACTAGAAGCATTCAGGCATTATGATAAGGTTAGTGTTTTGGAAAAAAATAAAGTAAGTGTATTGTGTGTCATTAATATTTCTGTGTTGTAGAGGTGCATACGTGAAGAATAATAATAATAACAAAGCAAATATAAAAGAAGAATATGAAGACAAGATAGCTTAGTTACTACAACTATATAAAAACCAACCAACCAACCAACCAAAAAGAAACAACCTAACAACCCAGACCTAAAAAACAAATGAAAAATTCTCGAAAGTTATAGTTGCTGTACTGGCTCTATACTTAACATAAAATCATAGGCACTGGCTGGCAAATTACTGTACAGGCCGGATCATATACTATAGTGATAAGTTGGATCTCCTAAAGAAAACAGTCTTCTAAAAACCAGCTTCTCAAATTGCCACTTATCAAAATAGATACTGCAACAATTTTACCCAATAGTATTTGGAGATTCCAAGATAAAGACAAACATGGGAGATGAGTAAGAAAGAATAACCTTACCATTTTTTATCTCCTCAAAATTTATTTTTATATCACCTCAGAAGAAAAATGATAAAAGAATTTTATTGATGTTTTTCTCCAAACTGTAATTCTTTGCTGCATTGCCAAGCACCAGAATTTCAAATCTCTCTTTTTTTTCCCTTCTGGATAAAAATATTATTTCTATTTCATACATAACATTATTGATAGTGTATGCAAAATGTTTGATGCCTGACTTTCAAAAGAAATCTTGATTTTCCTTTAAAATTTGTGATTGGATTGCTACTTCGTCACAGTAGATTATCACACTGAATTTTAATCTGAAGTCGCTGCATTATTTGGGTAAAAAATTATTCATTATTACTCTTGTATTCAGATTCTGAGTTTCTGATTTACTTGAGGATTTTTTGGTGCTCTTTTGAAATGGTGTGGCTACATATATACATATATGTACACATATATGTTAGAGTATTTTTATAACAGTTGTTATAACAACTATTTTATTTATAATAGAATGGTGATGGGATGATAGACAAAAACGACCTGAGGAAGTCCTGTTTTCAACTTAATCTGAATCTGGATAGTGACCTCTTGGATTCCTTATTTGACTTTTGTGATTTGGATAAAGACGGTTTCATTAATTATCAGGAATTTGCAAACTTTCTGAATTGGAAAGACAAAAAGGCTGTAGAAGAATTTGAAGAAAAAGTAATCACAAAAGGTAGGTGAATTAATACTGAGAGATTACATAGTTGAGCTTGTTGCTACAACAGCAAGAATCCTTCTGAAGTAGACTAGGTTCTCCATTAGAAGAGCAGGATTTACAGAGTGCATATAGCCCTTTCATGCCAAACAGTGTTGGCCAGTGATAGCAGAGAGATATATACAAATTACAGAACCCTGGAGTTATTTTCATACGATCATAGAATGGTTTGGGTCGGAAGGGAACTTTAAGATCATCTTAGTTCCAAACCCTGCTATAGGCAGGGACGTCTCTCTCTAGACCAGGTTACTCAAAGCCCCATCCAGCCTGGCCTTAAATACTTCCAGGGAGGGGACACCCACAACCTCACTGGGCAACCTGTTCTGGTGTCTCACCACCCTCACAGTAAAGAATTTCATCTTAATATCTAGTCTAAATCTACTCTCCCAGTTTAAAACTCTTTCCCCTCATTCTATTGCTACTTGCCCTTATAAAAGGGCAAGTTTCTCTCCAGCTTTCCTGCAGGCCTCCTTCAGATACAAGAAGGCTGCTATAGGGTTTCCTCAGAGCCTTCTCCATGCTGAAGAGCCCCAGCTATCTCAGCCTGTCCTCATAGGGGAGGTGCTCCAGCCCTCTGATTATCTTTGTAGCCCTCCTCTGGACCTGCTCCAACAACTCCGTATCCTTCCTGCAAGTTCAAGCAACTTTTAAAAATCTCTTATAACATGCTGATAATAAATCCTGGCTATTCTGTAACTTCTCTTTAACAGGGAAAAAACTAGATGTTCCTCCTCAGTCTGACATCAAGACAGATGATGAGCCACTGTTGAAGCAAGAATATCTTGCAGAAGAAGCAGAAAGCTCAGGAAAGACACCAAAAACGCTTACAAGACCAACAGACAGTGTATTTGCAGACTATCAGACAACTTCTTCCCAGTATAATGCTGTAGTAGGTGGTCTTCCAACAAACTGTAAGTTCAATGGACTGTACCTCACATTTCTAAGCATTATTTAAGAAAAAATCAGGAGTAAGTTTGAAAACTATTGCTGCAGATACTGCTAATGTTCAATAGTGAATTAACTTTTATCTAATCTAAGATTGTGGCTTGGAATTTATCAGTTTGAACATTTGGCATAGATTGTAGAAAAATTTGAAATTTAGTGTAGACGTACAAAGCATTTGATGCTGTTCCACACAACATCCTTGACAATTAGCTCAATTGCTCAATGTCCAAGTGGAGACAAGTGACAACCAGTGTTCCTTTTTTTAACACCTTTGTCAGTTACATGGACAGTAGGGTTGAATACTCTCAGCAAGTTTGCAGCCAGCACCAAACTGCATGGTGCAGTTGCATGCTGGAGAGAAGGGATGCCATCCAGAGGGACCTTGACAGGCTTGAGAAGTAGGCACATATGAACCTCATGTACTTAAACAAGGCCAAGTGTAGAATCCTGCCCCTGAGTCAGGGCAATTTCAAGTGCAAATATAGACTGGATGATTAATAGAATGAGAACAGCCCTGAGGGAAAGGACTTGAGGGTGTTAGTGTATGAATGTGAACCATCAGTGTGCACTTGCAGCCCACAAAACTGACCATATTCTGGACTGCATCAAAAGAAGTGTGACCAGCAGGTCTAGGGAGCAAATTCATCCCCTCTCCTGTCATGTGGTCATACCCGGAACATTGTGTTCAGCTCTGGAGACTCCTACATAAGAAAGACACAAAACTGTTAGAACAGATCTAGTTCTAGTACCAGTGAGGATGATCAGAGGACCTGAAGATATTTCCTGTGAAGATAGGCTGAGAGATGTGGAAGAGAAAGCTCCGGGGAGACTTTATAGTTTCTTTTCAGCTTTTAAAAGGGGCCTAGAGGAAAGCTGGGGAGAGTCTTTATCAGCGAATTAGTAATGGGATAGCGAGTAATGCTTTTAAACTAAAAGAGGGTAGATTTAGATTAGACATTAGGAAGAAAATCTTCACTATGAATGTGACAAGACTCTGGAATTCAGGCTGCCCAGAGAAGCTGTGTATGTTCCATTCTTGTAAGTGTTCAAAGCTGGGCTGGCTAGGGCTTTGGGCATCCTGGTCTAGAGGAAGGCACACCTATCCATGGCAGTGGAGTTAGAACTAGGTGATCTTTAAGGTCCTTTTCAACTCAAATCATTTTATATTTTTGAGAAATTAAGGTTGTAACTATAGGAAAACAAGATCACCTTAGAATCATCCAAAAATATTTTTAGAAGAAAGTGCTCAAAAGTTACTAAAATATTTCCCATTCTCATGTATCGTTATATACCTGGAGGTAAGAATTTGGAAGTAAGAATCCTACAAATAGTAAAGATGAGGGGGAAAATCATATAAACTCTTGAAGCTATATGAGTCAAAGGATCAAAATTGCTCTTATTTAAAGCTAAATATTTTATTGTCCCTGGAAGTATCTTTACATACTTTTCCATATTACCCATTGATTAATTTCCACAGATTATCCAGTATGTGGCATTCCAACTATTCGTTCAGATATTCCAGCTCCTCGAATTCGCCGCATTAGTGACAGAACTAATTATGGTGATCAGGCCAATGCTTATGCATTGTTGTTCCCTTCCATCTTCAGTCAAAAGGGAGTGTATGAAGGAGACTTCTTTAAATCAAGACCAAAGGCAGAGGTACAGTACATTTTTTCCAGAACTTTCTTTCTAGATAAATGCAATGCCTTGACCCATGGGGAACCGGAAAGTTGTATAGATTGTGAAATTCATTATTTTGACATTACTATCCTTTAATATCCATTCAGACGTCTGAAAAATATATGCTCTTCACATTCAAAGTTATTCATAAAGATGGTAGATACTGAAGTTGTATCTCAATGAAAGGTGTAATATAAGGAAGTATGTCAGGTTGTTGCAGCTCTCATGCTCAAATGCTGTGTTGAATAATGCTAATTATACAATATGCTAATAATATAATTTAGGGCTTCAGAGTCTGTCTTTCAACATTTCTGTAATGTGAGAAGAACAGAGGAGGAACAACCTCATGCATCAGGTTAGGGGCTGACCTAAAGTAAAGGAGCTCTGTAGAGAAGGACCTGGGTGTCCTGGTAGACAGCGAGTTGGTGATGAGCTACTGGTGTGCCCTTGTAGCTAAAAAGCACAATGGTATCTTGGGCTGTGTTAGAAAGAGCTGGCCAGCAGGTCAAGGGAGGTGATCCTCTCCCTCTACTCTGCCTTGGGGAGGCCATGTAGAATCATAGAATCATTTGAATTGGAAGGGATCTTTAAAAGTCATTTAGTCCAACTCCCTGACAACGAACAGGGACCTCTACAGCAAGATCCAGTTGCTCAGAGCCCTGCCCAGCCTGACCTTGAATGTCTTAAGGGATGGGTCATTCACCACCTCTCTGGACACCCTACTCCAGTGCTTCACTACACTTATCATAGAAAAACTTTCTTATATCCAATCTAAATATCCACTCTTACAGTATGAAACCATTTCCCCTTGTCCAACCACAATAAAGCCTGCTAAAAAGTCTGTAACCTTCTTTCTTAAAGTCCCTATTTTGATATTGAAAGCTGCTATGAGATCTCCCCAGAGCCTTCTCTTCTTCAGGCTGAAGAGCCCCAGCTCTCTCAGCCTCTCTTCACAGGGGAGGTGTTCCATGTCTGGAGTACTGTATCCAGTTCTGGGTTCTCCAGTTTAAGAAAGACAGGGAACTACTGGAGAGAGTCCAGTGAAGGGCCATGAAGATATTTAGGGGTGTGGAGCATCTCCCTTATGAGGAAAGGCTGAGAGACTTGGACCAGTTCAACCTGGGAAAGAGAAGACTGAGGGGATTTTATCAGTGCTTGTAAATATCTGAAGGGTGGGTGACAACAAGTTGGGACTAAGATTTTTTCAGTGGTCTCTAGTGATGGGACAAGGATCAACAGGCACAAACTGGAACACGGAAATTCCATGTGAACATGAGGAAAAATGTCTTTACTTTGAATGTGGCAGAGCACTGGAACAAGCTTGTGGAGTCTCCTTTTCTGGAGATACTCAAAACCTGCCTTCACACATGTCTGTGCAGCTTGCTCTTGTGAATGTGTTTTAGCAGAGCGGTTGAACAAGATGATCTCTAGAGGTTCTTTCTAACCCCTATGATCCTGTGATCCTGTAATTCAGAACAGATGTGAAATTTCCGTCTTTGGATGTATTCAAATTCTGAGCCACATCCCAAGGAATATGGTTTAGTGATGAATTTAGCCCTTCTTTGATTGTATGATTAGATGGATTATCTCCAGAGATCTCTTCCACTGAATTATTGTATAATTCTATCAGTAGATAGAATCATATAAAAATAAATGCATAAATAGGTTTTTTGTTGTTGTTGTTTTTGTTTTCCCAGAGAAATAATTTTGCAGATGTGTAAAATTAGTTTCTGTCACACAGGAATTTTCAGTAAAAATTTTGGCCAGATTGTCTTCCCTTGAACTGCCAGGTTTTGCTAATAGCAATTTACAAGCATTTTTCAACTGATATCTTTGGGGGCTGCTACCACTCTTGTTTGGCAACCCAAAGTTCATCCAGCATAAATGCTAAAACAATGTTGACCCTTGTTCTATGTTGCTTATGGTTTTTCTATTTTATTTCTCAGCATTTTCTAATGAAAAAAGAGATCACTTAATTATTGAAATATGATTTATGAGTCAACGATAGGAAAATATGAAATTTTAATCTGAAATGGAAAAAGAAACATTAACAAACTGTCCATCTCTTCTAGTCATTTTATTAGATAAATGACTGGATGTCATATGAAAGTACATCTGGAAGTGCATATATTTTGCAGAAAAAATGTTGCTAATTAGTGGTGGGGATGTAAAAGATATAGTGTCACGTTCCATAAATATCCTTAAAATAGGTTGTCACGTACATGAGCATTTACCATTTTATAATGTAGCTCTCAAGCAGGAAATCTGTGTGTGCAGAGTATGGCTAACAGCAAATAGAATTTGTGCTTCACTGAGAAGTCCATTGTACCTGTCAAGCGCCAGATAGATCTCTGAAGTTATGTGGCCTGAGATGTCATCCTCCATTGTAGACTACACAGGCTATACAGAGTGCAGTACAGAACTATCTCTGAGTGCATTAAATCATCCAATACTCATGAAATAGATTGCTTCAGTGTTGGTGACGTTCTTGGGATTTATATTGGCATGGACCATTAATATCTTGAAACATTTAGTAGCTAACTAAATCATTACATGAAAACCTGAAGTTGTGTAATAGTATCAGTTTGTGAATAGGCCTCTAGTAATTGATAACAATTCTGACTATGAAACAGTTTTGTAATGTGATGTTTCCTGTTAAAAAAGAACAAAGTGTTTCTAAACCTGCTGTTGTCTTCAATAGAATTCAATAGTAAAAAAGAATTAAAATTACTTGGCTAAGTAATAGCGTGTACTTGATATTCAGTATGATCATGTTGATAGTACATAAGAGCCAGACAAAACCATGTGTGCACTTGATAATGTAAGGTTTAGTAAGTGATTATTTTATGGCTGCTGAGTCAGGACATAATTGTATTTTAATAATTTAGTATTGATAAAGAAAGTTCTGAGAACTTCTAGTTATTTATCCTCCACATAGTAGTATTCGTATTTGTATTTTCAACATTAAAGTTGTTTCAAACTTATTAAAATAGTTTTGTATACCACTGTTTTCATCAATATAAGATTCCATTTCACTAATGTGGGAACTTCATGGGTTAATCAGCCAGGATGTGGATTGCGAATGTATGTGAAAACTAGACTTTACAGTTTAAAGAAATTACCAATCAGAATTACATGAGTTGTATTCTTTTATAGATAGCACAAATTCTTCACAACAGTGGTGTGAACATTTCAGATGAAAGATTTGAAGAAATATGGAAACAAGTATGCATGAAACAACAAAAAGAAGAGGTTTGTGTAGAAAGTATAAGAAATATACTGGATGAGATTCACGCATCAGACACAAAAGACAGTTGCTAAATTCAGTCTTTGAGCTCTGCATTAAGTTACATTGACAGCAGTCGTAATTCTGGTACTTAATGCAATAAATATTTCTTGGAAAGATGTGCTTGCATAACTGTAATTCACTGTTTCTGGTCTTTCTGAATAGTGCTTTCACCATGGTCTATATGATTCTTTCTGCCATCATTGTGGGGAGTAGCCATGGGAAGAAAAATGGATGCAGCATTCTTACGTTATTTATTTATTTATTTATTTTCTCCTGAACTATAACTCATAATACTTTAGGCATAGACAATTTTTTTTTGTAAATTTTTTTTTGAGTTTATTTTAAGGCATTTTTGAGATTATTATCCTTGAATGGAATGACATCTGGCACTGTTTGGAATCTTGCATAAGTTGTTGTCAGCAAAATGAGCCAGCACACGGGGCTCACTCCCGGCTAGTCCTGCGGCCTCTTTGGGGCCGGCTGCGGGGATTCGTGGCCCGATGTAGCCGGGAGCGGCTTTGCACCTGGGCTGGCCTTCGTCGCCTGGACTGGCTCCTGAGGCGTCTTTGGAGCTGGCCCCGGGATTGTGCAGGCCGACGTTCCACAGGGGAACGGCTTCGTGTCTGGGCCTGCACTAGCTGCCTGGGCTGGCTTCTTCCATCAGCCGCTGGGGCATCCCCTGACGACCCCAGCGCTCCCCGTCTGGTGTAGCGTGGGGAGCCACTCTCAGCCGCTGGAGCAGGTGTGTGGCTCCTCCCAGAGCGCCTTTGGGGATGGCTGCTGGAACGTGGCGCCTGAGATTGGATTGGGGAGCGGCTTCGTGTCCGATTCCGCTCTCCCTGCCCGGACCTGCGGCTGCCGGCTGCTCGGGAAGCCCTCGAGGACCGTGGGGGCCTCTGACCGGCCGACGTTGGGGTGCACCTCTCAGCTGCACCCGATGGATCTGCAGCATGGCTTTGGCCTGTCCCAGGCTGGCTGGACTGGCTGCCGCTGTCAGGCACCTGGGAACTGTGACCAGGCCCTGACGCTGCCTGGCTGGCAGTGCTGGAGCTGCTGCTCTCATGTGCAGTGGGGCTGTTGGATGGCAGCAGTCCTTGCTGGCTGGCGGTGCTGGGGCCGGTGACCTCTGAGTTGACAGTGGAGGCTGTAAGGGGGAAAGTCAGGAAGGTCAGCAGGGTGGGCCTCCAGCCCCGGCGCGGGGCAGGCTGCCATCCAGCTTGGGCCAGAGAGATTTTGGCAAGGCTGCCTCGGGCACCCGCTGCCAGGCCTTGCCTGGCCCCCACATGGCTATTTGCCTCTTACCGGTGCCCACGCCAGCGCAGGCTTGGCACTCCCACTCATCCGCGTTGTTGCTCAGCTGGGAGCAGCACCGGTGAGTGCCTTCTGCAGCACAGGAGCTGCACAGGAGCATCTCCCAGGGCCTGGGAAAACAAAGGGGTTGTGGCTGTGAGGACAAAGTGCATCAAGGCAAGGAGTGCTTGTTCCCCTAGCCTGAGATCCCACGCGTAGCCCCCAAGGGCTGCTGAGCTAACTCACCCCTCTCCCTCTGCCTGCTCCCTGCCTTGTGGACAAAGGCACTCGGTGGCATCACAGCGCCCGTGTCTCACTCCCAGCGATGCGTATGCATTGCCGTCCTCCCACATGGGTCCACTGCCAGAGAAAGGAGAAAATGCAATGAGCTCCTGCTGCCCCTGGACTAAGGCTGCTGCAGAGCAGCCCTGCTCTTCCACTCCAAGCCCATTTCCAGCTTCTCCTTGAAGCTGAGGGCAGCCTGGGGTCACGGGCAGCAAAGGGCCAGGCCTGCCGGAGCCGTCCCTGGGCAGGCGCAGCTCTTGTGCCCTTGATTCTCAAGAGCCGGCAGAAAAACACCAACCTGAGTGGGATTCGGATGCCCATGATGAGCATGTCAGAGAGGAAGGCATCCGCATCTCTGCAGAGGGGGCACTGGAAGCAGTTAATGCCCGCACGGATGGCCTGTCCCTGTAGCAGAAACACAGTCATCAGTGGGAGCGGGAGCGGGCTCAGGTGCTGCGGGTTGCCTGCTGCAGCTTGCCCGCTGGTGTAGGGGAGGGCTCCTACCTGGATACAGGCCCGGTGGAACCAGGCGTGTTTGCAGGCTGGGCACACCAGGGTGCTGTAGGACTTGTTGTCCTCCACTGGCTCCATGCAGATAATGCAGTTGGTGTTCTGCTCTGGAGTCGCCTCCGCAGCCTGCTCAGGGCTGTGCTTCTGGCAGAATGAACTGCGGGAAGACGGGAGGGATGGGCAAGGTGAGAAGAGCTGTGTGGAGGGCAGAGGAATGGGAGGCAGCCCCGGGCCTTGGCTCTGCAGGCTAATGAGAGCAGTCACAGGGGGTTGCTCACTTCCTTGGCTGGTATTGCCAACAGGGGTTGTCCTTACCTGTAGTTTCCATAATACTGGGTGACGCATTCACCCACCCGGGCGCAGGGCAGATGGAAACTCAGTTCACAGCCCGTCTCTGCACACGTGATGGGGGCCCCCGTTTCGCCACAAACGAAGCAGTGCTGGAAGGAGCAGAGCAGTGCCATCAGGAGCAGGCTCAGCGCCTTTGTGGCTGGCCCTGCACCTGTGGGCAGGGCTCAGGACAGAGCATGCAGGCACTGGAGCTGGCTGGAAGGGCCAGGATTGCTTCCTCGGGACCGGGCTGAGCTTGAGGAGCCTCTCCTGGCCCAAACCAGCCTGCTCGGTCAGGTCCTCACCTTCTGCTCTGCCTCCTGGATTACGCGTTGGACGTATACAGGGGACACCTCAGCAGTCGTGTTCACTCTAGTTGCCTGCTGGAGAAGGCCGTTGGAAAATGCCTGTTTGAGAGAAAAGAGCAGGATCGTGTGAGGACAGGAAGGAAGGAACCATTGCTTGGAGGAAGGTGAAAAGAAGGAGCCCCAGGGGCACTCACCATACAGAATGCATGGGCACATATCCCAGAGTCCAGGTGCTTGAGCCCACAGATGTCTGGGTCAGCATCTGTCTGGCCGCACAGCATGCACGCTGGAGAGGAGAGAGCAAAAGCAGTGAGTGCGGTGCAGGACCAGCTGTCCCTGAGGGCTGTGCCCAGGGGCCTGCTCTGTGCCTGCCCTGATGGATGAAGGGTAGGACTGCAGGCTGTGCAGGGCCTCCCTTCTCAGCCACAGGCAGAGCCCCAACAACCCTCTGCCTGGTGATGGGGAGCTGTGAGTAGGGATGCTTGGCTCTCACCTGGCTCCGTCCAGTTGGGAGCCTCCATGGCACACATCGACAGCGAGCACTTGCAGAGTTCCTGCTCCGGCAACGCTGAGCTTTCTCCTCTGCACACTCCTCTGCCAACTCTGAGGGAGAAGCAGGACAAGGGTGAGTTGACAGCACAGGGCACAGGGGGGTGGGAGCCTTCCTCCCGCTATCAGCCTCAGGCAGCCCTTTCCTCCCTGCCCTCTCCGCACCTCACCAAGTCGCACTGACGCAGGTTCTGAGCTTGGCAGCCTTTGTTCTGCTCGCAGCCCCATGGGTCACAGTGGCCGCTCCCTGGCACCCACTGTGACACAGTCACCACCTGGCGGGTGAAGGTGGGGGCCCTGGATACCCAAGCAGGAAGGCGTTGGCTCTGCGCAGACTGAGGGGCCGGGTGTTGGCCGTGCTGCAGGAGGAAGGATCGCTTCCCTCCACCTGCTGCCAATGATCCCCGTGCCAGTGGAGCTGTCTGTCCCTCGGGCACGGCTGCAGCCCTGGATCCACCCTAGGGCAGCCGTGCTCTTCCATCCTGGCACAGAGCTCATGGACAGCAGAGGGCCAGGCCTGCCAGAGCAGCAGGACACCAGCCCGAGTGGGGTTGACATCCCCATGTTGTGCGTGTCTGAAGGCGTTCAGTGTGGCGATCTTGTTTCTGCAGAGGGGCACTGGCAGCAGAGAATGGCCGTGCTCAGGACCTGTCCCTGCAGCAGAAGCGCGGTTAGGGGCAGCGGGGCCTCGCTTCTGGGGGTGAGGGCTGGACTTCTCCCTGATCACTGCCCCGGTGGGAACAGGTGTGTTTGTGCTGCTGCAGGAACTGCGTGACACACGTACTCTCCTGACACAAGCGGAATGCTTTAATAAAAACAACTTAAAAACCAGGACAGCTTTTTTCTTGTGTAACCAAACTATAATGCGTATTTTATATGCGATCAAAGACCTTCTTCATTCTTCTTCATTCAGTATGGCTCCGGCAAGCAGTGGGTTGGACACGCGTGCTTTATCGCTGCTCAGAGCTGCAAATTCTACTTGTTGGGTGCTGGATTTTCACTGCAATACACATACGAGACCTTGGGAAGACCCAGTTGCTGTGGCACAGCCAGTTAACCCGGTGCGGTTTCCCAATCCTTGTTTCCTCTCGTTCAGTGCTTTGGGCACACAGTGGAGATGTTCATATTTCTTTCTTGACTTCCTAACGTGTAGGAATTCACGTTCATAAGCTTCAGAGCTGCAAGCGGTGTTCATGATTTCTGTTAGTTGCTGTGGGCTATGTGCAAGGCAAAGTTTTCTTGAAAAGGAGCAAAGCAACCTTCACTATGACTTAAAAATTGTGCATTTATGGTAGCAGCTATGTTATAAGAACAGCGAGACTGCAGGGAACTTGTCTTAGAGTTCTTAGAACAAATAAGCAGGAAATCTTGATAAGGAACATGTTTTGGTAAGAAAAGTAAAACACCAGTAAGCTCCCAACCTGTTTTTTCTTTTTAAATAGGCAGTGGCTAAAAGACCCAGCACATTCTGGCGTTTATGCACACACTCTTCCTCCCTCCTTATTCACCCAAGAAACCTTTCATCTCTGTTTCACCCAAGGAACAGAACATTTAATAAATAATGGAATTTAATTGGATCCGTTTAATGAGTTGCCTTCCTCCTGATTTTATTTTAGAGTGAACATGTTGTTTTTGCAGTGACAGAGTTGGAAGACCTTTCTTGCTGTATATTTTTTCTTCTCCTCCAAAGCCGTGCCATGAATACTGAATTTCTGTAGTGGAAAGCACCTGTTAAAGTTAGGACTGAAGCTTTGAATGTGCAAAGTCATTTGCATCTCATTTTATATTTCTGTGTTGTAATTTCAACATGTGAATATTAACATACATGTGCCTGAAGTTCATGTGCCACCCTTGGCAGTGACTCGTGCTGTGTAAGGCAGCTGCTGCACTCAGTTATTCCCTTTACTGTTGTCAAACGGAACAGTGCCTCTGTGCAATGGCTCATTTTTGGGATCCTGAAAGGTCTGGTGGGCCGTGTTCCTTGGAAATCCATGTAATACAAGCAAACATAACTTTGCCTCGATACTTGCTGTGGAAATAATATCAATATACGTCTTAAAAGGATTATAGACTTCCTTATTCTTTTCTTCCCAGTAACTTAAAATTGCTGGGAATTGATTGATTGGTTGTTTTGATTGTTTTTACACAGATTTGCTTACGTATTTGGAATTGACTGTTTATGGTCTTTCTGAATAGTGTTTTCTGCACGGTTCTATATGATTGTTTCTGCCATCATTACTGTTAGTATCCATGAGAAGAAAAGTGGATGTAGTATTCCTACATTCTTTATTTTCTCTCTTCCCCCCCTTCTCCCCCCCGCCTTGAACTGTAACTCATAATACTTTAGATGTAGACTGTTTTGTTTTTTCTTTTTTTTTGGGTTAATTTTAAGATATTTTTGAGATGATTATCTTTGAATGACTTCTAGCACAGTTTTGAATGTTCCGTGAGTTCTTGTCAGCAAAATGGTAGCAGAGAACTGGCTAGGTTAAGTTATTTGATGTGTTTAAAAATCCATGCATCAAGCTGCTTGACCTTAAGATACTTAGTCGTGCTGTAGGATCTCATGTGTTGTGGTGAAGTCGCCTCGGTTAAGAATCCGTCAATTAAACGCAAATAGAAATGCCCAGGAGTATTGCAGAAGACTTCCATTGTCTATGCCAGCTTACGGCTATTTGTTTGTAGTGTTCATTTTGACAGTGATGAAAAAAAGAAGGGATATTTTAAAGAATATTGGAAAGTGATATAGACATACAGACCAGGTAGTCAGAAAAGCCTGGGAGGTCGCACATTCAGAGCACTAACTGTTCACCTGTGCCCAAACACTGGTGTGCGATCAGTACTGGCTGGACTGCAACCAGGAGGCAGGGTGCACTGTGTTGCGAACTCAAATCATGGCGAATCATTTTATGAATTTTGATACAGTGGATAAACACAGCCCCACGAACAGCCAAAAATATGCACCCGTGCTTTCCGTTTTGATTAAGGAATTTGAGAACGGGTTTCAAGAGTGCCGAAAAAATGGTTGATTTTTTGGAATATTTGTGACACCATTATCAGTTGACCTAAATACATTCTGAAATGGAATGTATGAAGAATCTGTTGGTTACATGCATTAGCTATATTATGGATGGTGCATGCAACTCAAAACAATTCTTCTTCACTGAAGAAGAAATCACAGCCTGTGATGTATGTATGTTTTATCATCACTCAGGGATATTGAAGCTTGGAGATTGAAAGAAGGCAGTGCATCAAACACCAGAGCCAAAGCCAAAACAGGAACGGCGCACTTTCTTACGTCGAGTATGAAAGCAGGATGGTGTTGATGTGAATACCGAATTATGGACTGATTGTGAAACCTTTGTGTGCTTAAGCTGTTAAAGGAGAAGGAGAATTTTTGGAATAGAACCCAGAATGCCAAACTGCCTTTATCCAATTGAAAGCTGCTCTGGCACTTCCCAGTCTGGAAAAGCCTTTTGAATAACATGTGCACAAAAGGCATCACATTGTACTGGAAGTGCTAAAAGAGCACACTGAGTCCTGGAAGAGGCCGGTGGGATATTGCTCTAGACAACTGGGTCAAGTAGATAACGGGTGGCCATTGTGTGTACAAGCAGTGGCAGGAACAGTGCTGCTCATAGAGGAGCAATAGAGTAGTAGAGGCTTCTGCCCCTCTACTCTGCTCTTGTGAGACCCCACCTGGAGTACCATGTCCAGTTCTGGGGCCCCCAGTAGAAGAGGGACATTGGAGCAGGACCAGAGGAGGGCCAGAGAGATCATCAGGGGGCTGAAGCATCTTTCCTATTAGGACAGGCTGTGAAAGTAGTGGCTCCTCAGCCTGGAGAAGACACTCGAGGGGACCTCATAGTGACCATCCAGTACCTAAAGGGGGCCTACGGGACTCATACAGGAGGCTTGATAGACAAAATGACTTTGGGACAGAAGTTAGTGGTTCAGGCACTCAAAGCAGAACCACCACTCAGAGCTTCTGGCACTGCAGCAATGCAGAAGGAGAACCCAGGCAGGCCCTGGCTCAGCCCACAGCTGGTTGCTGGGGGAGGTGACTTCCATGCCATGGACACAGTGACAGCCCCAAGGCCATAAGCATTGCCAGAACATAGATGCACCTGCTAGCCTGGCCTTGGCCTGCGGGCATTGGAGATGTTGAGCCCCAGTGGAATTGGGGCTGAAACGCAGCTCTGCCTAGACCCAGCCATGGGAAGGAAAGTATGGAAGGGATATGTGCAAGGGAGAAGAGTACCCTGGGGTTCCAGCCCCGAATGCATCCCACCCTGGGAAAGGCACAGGAGAACGGCACTAAGAAACGTCTAAGAGAACTCCAATTTCTATTGTGCTGACCTCTGAGGACCGGAGCCAGCACGTGGGGTTCACATCCAGCTGCTCCTGGGGCATTGTAAGATACTTGATAAATTCAGTCTTTGAGCTCTGCATTAAGTTACATTGACAGCAGTCGTAATTCTGGTACTTAATGCAATAAATATTTCTTGGAAAGATGTGCTTGCATAACTGTAATTCACTGTTTCTGGTCTTTCTGAATAGTGCTTTCACCATGGTCTATATGATTCTTTCTGCCATCATTGTGGGGAGTAGCCATGGGAAGAAAAAAGGATGCAGCATTCTTACGTTATTTATTTATTTATTTTTTTTCTCCTGAACTATAACTCATAATACTTTAGGCATAGACAATTTTTTTTTGTAAATTTTTTTTGAGTTTATTTTAAGGCATTTTTGAGATTATTATCCTTGAATGGAATGACATCTGGCACTGTTTGGAATCTTGCATAAGTTGTTGTCAGCAAAATGAGCCAGCACACGGGGCTCACTCCCGGCTAGTCCTGCGGCCTCTTTGGGGCCGGCTGCGGGGATTCGTGGCCCGATGTAGCCGGGAGCGGCTTTGCACCTGGGCTGGCCTTCGTCGCCTGGACTGGCTCCTCAGGCGTCTTTGGAGCTGGCCCCGGGATTGTGCAGGCCGACGTTCCACAGGGGAACGGCTTCGTGTCTGGGCCTGCACTAGCTGCCTGGGCTGGCTTCTTCCATCAGCCGCTGGGGCATCCCCTGACGACCCCAGCGCTCCCCGTCTGGTGTAGCGTGGGGAGCCACTCTCAGCCGCTGGAGCAGGTGCGTGGCTCCTCCCAGAGCGCCTTTGGGGATGGCTGCTGGAACGTGGCGCCTGAGATTGGATTGGGGAGCGGCTTCGTGTCCGATTCCGCTCTCCCTGCCCGGACCTGCGGCTGCCGGCTGCTCGGGAAGCCCTCGAGGACCGTGGGGGCCTCTGACCGGCCGACGTTGGGGTGCACCTCTCAGCTGCACCCGATGGATCTGCAGCATGGCTTTGGCCTGTCCCAGGCTGGCTGGACTGGCTGCCGCTGTCAGGCACCTGGGAACTGTGACCAGGCCCTGACGCTGCCTGGCTGGCAGTGCTGGAGCTGCTGCTCTCAGGTGCAGTGGGGCTGTTGGATGGCAGCAGTCCTTGCTGGCTGGCGGTGCTGGGGCCGGTGACCTCTGAGTTGACAGTGGAGGCTGTAAGGGGGAAAGTCAGGAAGGTCAGCAGGGTGGGCCTCCAGCCCCGGCGCGGGGCAGGCTGCCATCCAGCTTGGGCCAGAGAGATTTTGGCAAGGCTGCCTCGGGCACCCGCTGCCAGGCCTTGCCTGGCCGCCACATGGCTATTTGCCTCTTACCGGTGCCCACGCCAGCGCAGGCTTGGCACTCCCACTCATCCGCGTTGTTGCTCAGCTGGGAGCAGCACCGGTGAGTGCCTTCTGCAGCACAGGAGCTGCACAGGAGCATCTCCCAGGGCCTGGGAAAACAAAGGGGTTGTGGCTGTGAGGACAAAGTGCATCAAGGCAAGGAGTGCTTGTTCCCCTAGCCTGAGATCCCACGCGTAGCCCCCAAGGGCTGCTGAGCTAACTCACCCCTCTCCCTCTGCCTGCTCCCTGCCTTGTGGACAAAGGCACTCGGTGGCATCACAGCGCCCGTGTCTCACTCCCAGCGATGCGTATGCATTGCCGTCCTCCCACATGGGTCCACTGCCAGAGAAAGGAGAAAATGCAATGAGCTCCTGCTGCCCCTGGACTAAGGCTGCTGCAGAGCAGCCCTGCTCTTCCACTCCAAGCCCATTTCCAGCTTCTCCTTGAAGCTGAGGGCAGCCTGGGGTCACGGGCAGCAAAGGGCCAGGCCTGCCGGAGCCGTCCCTGGGCAGGCGCAGCTCTTGTGCCCTTGATTCTCAAGAGCCGGCAGAAAAACACCAACCTGAGTGGGATTCGGATGCCCATGATGAGCATGTCAGAGAGGAAGGCATCCGCATCTCTGCAGAGGGGGCACTGGAAGCAGTTAATGCCCGCACGGATGGCCTGTCCCTGTAGCAGAAACACAGTCATCAGTGGGAGCGGGAGCGGGCTCAGGTGCTGCGGGTTGCCTGCTGCAGCTTGCCCGCTGGTGTAGGGGAGGGCTCCTACCTGGATACAGGCCCGGTGGAACCAGGCGTGTTTGCAGGCTGGGCACACCAGGGTACTGTAGGACTTGTTGTCCTCCACTGGCTCCATGCAGATAATGCAGTTGGTGTTCTGCTCTGGAGTCGCCTCCGCAGCCTGCTCAGGGCTGTGCTTCTGGCAGAATGAACTGCGGGAAGACGGGAGGGATGGGCAAGGTGAGAAGAGCTGTGCGGAGGGCAGAGGAATGGGAGGCAGCCCCGGGCCTTGGCTCTGCAGGCTAATGAGAGCAGTCACAGGGGGTTGCTCACTTCCTTGGCTGGTATTGCCAACAGGGGTTGTCCTTACCTGTAGTTTCCATAATACTGGGTGACGCATTCACCCACCCGGGCGCAGGGCAGATGGAAACTCAGTTCACAGCCCGTCTCTGCACACGTGATGGGGGCCCCCGTTTCGCCACAAACGAAGCAGTGCTGGAAGGAGCAGAGCACTGCCATCAGGAGCAGGCTCAGCGCCTTTGTGGCTGGCCCTGCACCTGTGGGCAGGGCTCAGGACAGAGCATGCAGGCACTGGAGCTGGCTGGAAGGGCCAGGATTGCTTCCTCGGGACCGGGCTGAGCTTGAGGAGCCTCTCCTGGCCCAAACCAGCCTGCTCGGTCAGGTCCTCACCTTCTGCTCTGCCTCCTGGATTACGCGTTGGACGTATACAGGGGACACCTCAGCAGTCGTGTTCACTCTAGTTGCCTGCTGGAGAAGGCCGTTGGAAAATGCCTGTTTGAGAGAAAAGAGCAGGATCGTGTGAGGACAGGAAGGAAGGAACCATTGCTTGGAGGAAGGTGAAAAGAAGGAGCCCCAGGGGCACTCACCATACAGAATGCATGGGCACATATCCCAGAGTCCAGGTGCTTGAGCCCACAGATGTCTGGGTCAGCATCTGTCTGGCCGCACAGCATGCACGCTGGAGAGGAGAGAGCAAAAGCAGTGAGTGCGGTGCAGGACCAGCTGTCCCTGAGGGCTGTGCCCAGGGGCCTGCTCTGTGCCTGCCCTGATGGATGAGGGGTAGGACTGCAGGCTGTGCAGGGCCTCCCTTGTCAGCCACAGGCAGAGCCCCAGCAACCCTCTGCCTGGTGATGGGGAGCTGTGAGTAGGGATGCTTGGCTCTCACCTGGCTCCGTCCAGTTGGGAGCCTCCATGGCGCACATCGACAGCGAGCACTTGCAGAGTTCCTGCTCCGGCAACGCTGAGCTTTCTCCTCTGCACACTCCTCTGCCAACTCTGAGGGAGAAGCAGGACAAGGGTGAGTTGACAGCACAGGGCACAGGGGGGTGGGAGCCTTCCTCCCGCTATCAGCCTCAGGCAGCCCTTTCCTCCCTGCCCTCTCCTCACCTCACCAAGTCGCACTGACGCAGGTTCTGAGCTTGGCAGCCTTTGTTCTGCTCGCAGCCCCATGGGTCACAGTGGCCGCTCCCTGGCACCCACTGTGACACAGTCACCACCTGGCGGGTGAAGGTGGGGGCCCTGGATACCCAAGCAGGAAGGCGTTGGCTCTGCGCAGACTGAGGGGCCGGGTGTTGGCCGTGCTGCAGGAGGAAGGATCGCTTCCCTTCACCTGCTGCCAATGATCCCTGTGCCAGTGGAGCTGTCTGTCCCTCGGGCACGGCTGCAGCCCTGGAACCACCCTAGGGCAGCCGTGCTCTTCCATCCTGGCACAGAGCTCATGGACAGCAGAGGACCAGGCCTGCCAGAGCAGCAGGACACCAGCCCCAGTGGGGTTGACATCCCCATGTTGTGCGTGTCTGAAGGCGCTCAGTGTGGCGATCTTGTTTCTGCAGAGGGGCACTGGCAGCAGAGAATGGCCATGCTCAGGACCTGTCCCTGCAGCAGAAGCGCGGTTAGGGGCAGTGGGGCCTCGCTTCTGGGGGTGAGGGCTGGACTTCTCCCTGATCACTGCCCCGGTGGGAACAGGTGTGTTTGTGCTGCTGCAGGAACTGCGTGACACACGTACACTCCTGACACAAGCGGAATGCTTTAATAAAAACAACTTAAAAACCAGGACAGCTTTTTTCTTGTGTAACCAAACTATAATGCGTATTTTATATGCGATCAAAGACCTTCTTCATTCTTCTTCATTCAGTATGGCTCCAGCAAGCCAGTGGGTTGGACACGCGTGCTTTAGCGCTGCTCAGAGCTGCAAATTCTACTTGTTGGGTGCTGGATTTTCACTGCAATACACATACGAGACCTTGGGAAGACCCAGTTGCTGTGGCACAGCCAGTTAACCCGGTGCGGTTTCCCAATCCTTGTTTCCTCTCGTTCAGTGCTTTGGGCACACAGTGGAGATGTTCATATTTCTTTCTTGACTTCCTAACGTGTAGGAATTCAGGTTCATAAGCTTCAGAGCTGCAAGCGGTGTTCATGATTTCTGTTAGTTGCTGTGGGCTATGTGCAAGGCAAAGTTTTCTTGAAAAGGAGCAAAGCAACCTTCACTATGACTTAAAAATTGTGCATTTATGGTAGCAGCTATGTTATAAGAACAGCGAGACTGCAGGGAACTTGTCTTAGAGTTCTTAGAACAAATAAGCAGGAAATCTTGATAAGGAACATGTTTTGGTAGGAAAAGTAAAACACCAGTAAGCTCCCAACCTGTTTGGTGAAATATTCTTCTTAGATTTTTTTCTTTTTAAATAGGCAGTGGCTAAAAGACCCAGCACATTCTGGCGTTTATGCACACACTCTTCCTCCCTCCTTATTCACCCAAGAAACCTTTCATCTCTGTTTCACCCAAGGAACAGAACATTTAATAAATAATGGAATTTAATTGGATCCGTTTAATGAGTTGCCTTCCTCCTGATTTTATTTTAGAGTGAACATGTTGTTTTTGCAGTGACAGAGTTGGAAGACCTTTCTTGCTGTATATTTTTTCTTCTCCTCCAAAGCCGTGCCGTGAATACTGAATTTCTGTAGTGGAAAGTACCTGTTAAAGTTAGGACTGAAGCTTTGAATGTGCAAAGTCATTTGCATCTCATTTTATATTTCTGTGTTGTAATTTCAACATGTGAATATTAACATACATATGCCTGAAGTTCATGTGCCACCCTTGGCAGTGACTCGTGCTGTGTAAGGCAGCTGCTGCACTCAGTTATTCCCTTTACTGTTGTCAAACGGAACAGTGCCTCTGTGCAATGGCTCATTTTTGGGATCCTGAAAGGTCTGGTGGGCCGTGTTCCTTGGAAATCCATGTAATACAAGCAAACATAACTTTGCCTTGATACTTGTTGTGGAAATAATATCAATATACGTCTTAAAAGGATTATAGACTTCCTTATTCTTTTCTTCCCAGTAACCTAAAATTGCTGGGAATTGATTGATTGGTTGTTTTGATTGTTTTTACACAGATTTGCTTACGTATTTGGAATTGACTGTTTATGGTCTTTCTGAATAGTGTTTTCTGCACAGTTCTATATGATTGTTTCTGCCATCATTACTGTTAGTATCCATGAGAAGAAAAGAGGATGTAGTATTCCTACATTCTTTATTTTCTCTCTTTCACCCCACCCTCCCCCCCGCCTTGAACTGTAACTCATAATACTTTAGATGTAGACAGTTTGTTTGTTTTTTCTTTTTATTTTTTGAGTTAATTTTAAGATATTTTTGAGATGATTATCTTTGAATGACTTCTAGCACAGTTTTGAATGTTCCATGAGTTCTTGTCAGCAAAATGGTAGCAGAGAACTGGCTAGGTTAAGTTATTTGATGTGTTTAAAAATCCATGCATCAAGCTGCTTGACCTTAAGATACTTAGTCGTGCTGTAGGATCTCATGTGTTGTGGTGAAGTCACCTCGGTTAAGAATCCGTCAATTAAACGCAAATAGAAATGCCCAGGAGTATTGCAGAAGACTTCCATTGTCTATGCCAGCTTATGGCTATTTGTTTGTCGTGTTCATTTTGACAGTGATGAAAAAAAGAAGGGATATTTTAAAGAATATTGGAAAGTGATATAGACATACAGACCAGGTAGTCAGAAAAGCCTGGGAGGTCGCACATTCAGAGCACTAACTGTTCACCTGTGCCCAAACACTGGTGTGCGATCAGTACTGGCTGGGCTGCAACCAGGAGGCAGGGTGCACTGTGTTGCGAACTCAAATCATGGCGAATCATTTTATAAATTTTGATACAGTGGATAAACACAGCCCCACGAACAGCCAAAAATATGCACCCGTGCTTTCCGTTTTGATTAAGGAATTTGAGAACGGGTTTCAAGAGTGCCGAAAAAATGGTTGATTTTTTGGAATATTTGTGACACCATTATCAGTTGACCTAAATACATTCTGAAATGGAATGTATGAAGAATCTGTTGGTTACATGCATTAGCTATATTATGGATGGTGCATGCAACTCAAAACAATTCTTCTTCACTGAAGAAGAAATCACAGCCTGTGATGTATGTATGTTTTATCATCACTCAGGGATATTGAAGCTTGGAGATTGAAAGAAGGCAGTGCATCAAACACCAGAGCCAAAGCCAAAACAGGAACGGCCAAAACAGGAAATTTTTGGAATAGAACCCAGAATGCCAAACTGCCTTTATCCAATTGAAAGCTGCTCTGGCCCTTCCCAGTCTAGAAAAGCCTTTTGAATGACATGTGCACAAAAGGCATCACATTGTACTGGAAGTGCTAAAAGAGCACACTGAGTCCTGGAAGAGGCCGGTGGGATATTGCTCTAGACAACTGGGTCAAGTAGATAACGGGTGGCCATCGTGTGTACAAGCAGTGGCAGGAACAGTGCTGCTCATAGAGGAGCAATAGAGTAGTAGAGGCTTCTGCCCCTCTACTCTGCTCTTGTGAGACCCCACCTGGAGTACCATGTCCAGTTCTGGGGCCCCCAGTAGAAGAGGGACATTGGAGCAGGACCAGAGGAGGGCCAGAGAGATCATCAGGGGGCTGAAGCATCTTTCCTATTAGGACAGGCTGTGAAAGTAGTGGCTCCTCAGCCTGGAGAAGACACTTGAGGGGACCTCATAGTGATCTTCCAGTACCTAAAGGGGGCCTACGGGACTCATACAGGAGGCTTGATAGACAAAATGACTTTGGGACAGAAATCAGCGGTTCAGGCACTCAAAGCAGAACCACCACTCAGAGCTTCTGGCACTGCAGCAATGCAGAAGGAGAACCCAGGCAGGCCCTGGCTCAGCCCACAGCTGGTTGCTGGGGGAGGTGACTTCCATGCCATGGACACAGTGACAGCCCCAAGGCCATAAGCATTGCCAGAACATAGATGCACCTGCTAGCCTGGCCTTGGTCTGCGGGCATTGGAGATGTTGAGCCCCAGTGGAATTGGGGCTGAAACGCAGCTCTGCCTAGACCCAGCCATGGGAAGGAAAGTATGGAAGGGATATGTGCAAGGGAGAAGAGTACCCTGGGGTTCCAGCCCCGAATGCATCCCACCCTGGGAAAGGCACAGGAGAACGGCACTAAGAAACGTCTAAGAGAACTCCAATTTCTATTGTGCTGACCTCTGAGGACCGGAGCCAGCACGTGGGGTTCACATCCAGCTGCTCCTGGGGCATTGTAAGATACTTGATAAATTCAGTCTTTGAGCTCTGCATTAAGTTACATTGACAGCAATCGTAATTCTGGTACTTAATGCAATAAATATTTTTTTGAAAGATGTGCTTGCATAACTGTAATTCACTGTTTCTGGTCTTTCTGAATAGTGCTTTCACCATGGTCTATATGATTCTTTCTGCCATCATTGTGGGGAGTAGCCATGGGAAGAAAAAAGGATGCAGCATTCTTACGTTATTTATTTATTTATTTTTTTTCTCCTGAACTATAACTCATAATACTTTAGGCATAGACAATTTTTTTTTGTAAATTTTTTTTGAGTTTATTTTAAGACATTTTTGAGATTATTATCCTTGAATAGAATGACATCTGGCACTGTTTGGAATCTTGCATAAGTTGTTGTCAGCAAAATGAGCCAGCACACGGGGCTCACTCCCGGCTAGTCCTGCGGCCTCTTTGGGGCCGGCTGCGGGGATTCGTGGCCCGATGTAGCCGGGAGCGGCTTTGCACCTGGGCTGGCCTTCGTCGCCTGGACTGGCTCCTGAGGCGTCTTTGGAGCTGGCCCCGGGATTGTGCAGGCCGACGTTCCACAGGGGAACGGCTTCGTGTCTGGGCCTGCACTAGCTGCCTGGGCTGGCTTCTTCCATCAGCCGCTGGGGCATCCCCTGACGACCCCAGCGCTCCCCGTCTGGTGTAGCGTGGGGAGCCACTCTCAGCCGCTGGAGCAGGTGCGTGGCTCCTCCCAGAGCGCCTTTGGGGATGGCTGCTGGAACGTGGCGCCTGAGATTGGATTGGGGAGCGGCTTCGTGTCCGATTCCGCTCTCCCTGCCCGGACCTGCGGCTGCCGGCTGCTCGGGAAGCCCTCGAGGACCGTGGGGGCCTCTGACCGGCCGACGTTGGGGTGCACCTCTCAGCTGCACCCGATGGAACTGCAGCATGGCTTTGGCCTGTCCCAGGCTGGCTGGACTGGCTGCCGCTGTCAGGCACCTGGGAACTGTGACCAGGCCCTGACGCTGCCTGGCTGGCAGTGCTGGAGCTGCTGCTCTCAGGTGCAGTGGGGCTGTTGGATGGCAGCAGTCCTTGCTGGCTGGCGGTGCTGGGGCCGGTGACCTCTGAGTTGACAGTGGAGGCTGTAAGGGGGAAAGTCAGGAAGGTCAGCAAGGTGGGCCTCCAGCCCCGGCGCGGGGCAGGCTGCCATCCAGCTTGGGCCAGAGAGATTTTGGCAAGGCTGCCTCGGGCACCCGCTGCCAGGCCTTGCCTGGCCGCCACATGGCTATTTGCCTCTTACCGGTGCCCACGCCAGCGCAGGCTTGGCACTCCCACTCATCCGCGTTGTTGCTCAGCTGGGAGCAGCACCGGTGAGTGCCTTCTGCAGCACAGGAGCTGCACAGGAGCATCTCCCAGGGCCTGGGAAAACAAAGGGGTTGTGGCTGTGAGGACAAAGTGCATCAAGGCAAGGAGTGCTTGTTCCCCTAGCCTGAGATCCCCCCCCCAAGGGCTGCTGAGCCAACTCACCCCTCTCCCTCTGCCTGCTCCCTGCCTTGTGGACAAAGGCACTCGGTGGCATCACAGCGCCCGTGTCTCACTCCCAGCGATGCGTATGCATTGCCGTCCTCCCACATGGGTCCACTGCCAGAGAAAGGAGAAAATGCAATGAGCTCCTGCTGCCCCTGGACTAAGGCTGCTGCAGAGCAGCCCTGCTCTTCCACTCCAAGCCCATTTCCAGCTTCTCCTTGAAGCTGAGGGCAGCCTGGGGTCACGGGCAGCAAAGGGCCAGGCCTGCCGGAGCCGTCTCTGGGCAGGCGCAGCTCTTGTGCCCTTGATTCTCAAGAGCCGGCAGAAAAACACCAACCTGAGTGGGATTCGGATGCCCATGATGAGCATGTCAGAGAGGAAGGCATCCGCATCTCTGCAGAGGGGGCACTGGAAGCAGTTAATGCCCGCACGGATGGCCTGTCCCTGTAGCAGAAACACAGTCATCAGTGGGAGCGGGAGCGGGCTCAGGTGCTGCGGGTTGCCTGCTGCAGCTTGCCCGCTGGTGTAGGGGAGGGCTCCTACCTGGATACAGGCCCGGTGGAACCAGGCGTGTTTGCAGGCTGGGCACACCAGGGTGCTGTAGGACTTGTTGTCCTCCACTGGCTCCATGCAGATAATGCAGTTGGTGTTCTGCTCTGGAGTCGCCTCCGCAGCCTGCTCAGGGCTGTGCTTCTGGCAGAATGAACTGCGGGAAGACGGGAGGGATGGGCAAGGTGAGAAGAGCTGTGTGGAGGGCAGAGGAATGGGAGGCAGCCCCGGGCCTTGGCTCTGCAGGCTAATGAGAGCAGTCACAGGGGGTTGCTCACTTCCTTGGCTGGTATTGCCAACAGGGGTTGTCCTTACCTGTAGTTTCCATAATACTGGGTGACACATTCACCCACCCGGGCGCAGGGCAGATGGAAACTCAGTTCACAGCCCGTCTCTGCACACGTGATGGGGGCCCCCGTTTCGCCACAAACGAAGCAGTGCTGGAAGGAGCAGAGCAGTGCCATCAGGAGCAGGCTCAGCGCCTTTGTGGCTGGCCCTGCACCTGTGGGCAGGGCTCAGGACAGAGCATGCAGGCACTGGAGCTGGCTGGAAGGGCCAGGATTGCTTCCTCGGGACCAGGCTGAGCTTGAGGAGCCTCTGCTGGCCCAAACCAGCCTGCTCGGTCAGGTCCTCACCTTCTGCTCTGCCTCCTGGATTACGCGTTGGACGTATACAGGGGACACCTCAGCAGTCGTGTTCACTCTAGTTGCCTGCTGGAGAAGGCCGTTGGAAAATGCCTGTTTGAGAGAAAAGAGCAGGATCGTGTGAGGACAGGAAGGAAGGAACCATTGCTTGGAGGAAGGTGAAAAGAAGGAGCCCCAGGGGCACTCACCATACAGAATGCATGGGCACATATCCCAGAGTCCAGGTGCTTGAGCCCACAGATGTCTGGGTCAGCATCTGTCTGGCCGCACAGCATGCACGCTGGAGAGGAGAGAGCAAAAGCAGTGAGTGCGGTGCAGGACCAGCTGTCCCTGAGGGCTGTGCCCAGGGGCCTGCTCTGTGCCTGCCCTGATGGATGAGGGGTAGGACTGCAGGCTGTGCAGGGCCTCCCTTGTCAGCCACAGGCAGAGCCCCAGCAACCCTCTGCCTGGTGATGGGGAGCTGTGAGTAGGGATGCTTGGCTCTCACCTGGCTCCATCCAGTTGGGAGCCTCCATGGCGCACATCGACAGCGAGCACTTGCAGAGTTCCTGCTCCGGCAACGCTGAGCTTTCTCCTCTGCACACTCCTCTGCCAACTCTGAGGGAGAAGCAGGACAAGGGTGAGTTGACAGCACAGGGCACAGGGGGGTGGGAGCCTTCCTCCCGCTATCAGCCTCAGGCAGCCCTTTCCTCCCTGCCCTCTCCTCACCTCACCAAGTCGCACTGACGCAGGTTCTGAGCTTGGCAGCCTTTGTTCTGCTCGCAGCCCCATGGGTCACAGTGGCCGCTCCCTGGCACCCACTGTGACACAGTCACCACCTGGCGGGTGAAGGTGGGGGCCCTGGATACCCAAGCAGGAAGGCGTTGGCTCTGCGCAGACTGAGGGGCCGGGTGTTGGCCGTGCTGCAGGAGGAAGGATCGCTTCCCTTCACCTGCTGCCAATGATCCCTGTGCCAGTGGAGCTGTCTGTCCCTCGGGCACGGCTGCAGCCCTGGAACCACCCTAGGGCAGCCGTGCTCTTCCATCCTGGCACAGAGCTCATGGACAGCAGAGGGCCAGGCCTGCCAGAGCAGCAGGACACCAGCCCCAGTGGGGTTGACATCCCCATGTTGTGCGTGTCTGAAGGCGCTCAGTGTGGCGATCTTGTTTCTGCAGAGGGGCACTGGCAGCAGAGAATGGCCGTGCTCAGGACCTGTCCCTGCAGCAGAAGCGCGGTTAGGGGCAGTGGGGCCTCGCTTCTGGGGGTGAGGGCTGGACTTCTCCCTGATCACTGCCCCGGTGGGAACAGGTGTGTTTGTGCTGCTGCAGGAACTGCGTGACACACGTACACTCCTGACACAAGCGGAATGCTTTAATAAAAACAACTTAAAAACCAGGACAGCTTTTTTCTTGTGTAACCAAACTATAATGCGTATTTTATATGCGATCAAAGACCTTCTTCATTCTTCTTCATTCAGTATGGCTCCAGCAAGCCAGTGGGTTGGACACGCGTGCTTTAGCGCTGCTCAGAGCTGCAAATTCTACTTGTTGGGTGCTGGATTTTCACTGCAATACACATACGAGACCTTGGGAAGACCCAGTTGCTGTGGCACAGCCAGTTAACCCGGTGCGGTTTCCCAATCCTTGTTTCCTCTCGTTCAGTGCTTTGGGCACACAGTGGAGATGTTCATATTTCTTTCTTGACTTCCTAACGTGTAGGAATTCACGTTCATAAGCTTCAGAGCTGCAAGCGGTGTTCATGATTTCTGTTAGTTGCTGTGGGCTATGTGCAAGGCAAAGTTTTCTTGAAAAGGAGCAAAGCAACCTTCACTATGACTTAAAAATTGTGCATTTATGGTAGCAGCTATGTTATAAGAACAGCGAGACTGCAGGGAACTTGTCTTAGAGTTCTTAGAACAAATAAGCAGGAAATCTTGATAAGGAACATGTTTTGGTAAGAAAAGTAAAACACCAGTAAGCTCCCAACCTGTTTTTTCTTTTTAAATAGGCAGTGGCTAAAAGACCCAGCACATTCTGGCGTTTATGCACACACTCTTCCTCCCTCCTTATTCACCCAAGAAACCTTTCATCTCTGTTTCACCCAAGGAACAGAACATTTAATAAATAATGGAATTTAATTGGATCCGTTTAATGAGTTGCCTTCCTCCTGATTTTATTTTAGAGTGAACATGTTGTTTTTGCAGTGACAGAGTTGGAAGACCTTTCTTGCTGTATATTTTTTCTTCTCCTCCAAAGCCGTGCCGTGAATACTGAATTTCTGTAGTGGAAAGTACCTGTTAAAGTTAGGACTGAAGCTTTGAATGTGCAAAGTCATTTGCATCTCATTTTATATTTCTGTGTTGTAATTTCAACATGTGAATATTAACATACATATGCCTGAAGTTCATGTGCCACCCTTGGCAGTGACTCGTGCTGTGTAAGGCAGCTGCTGCACTCAGTTATTCCCTTTACTGTTGTCAAACGGAACAGTGCCTCTGTGCAATGGCTCATTTTTGGGATCCTGAAAGGTCTGGTGGGCCGTGTTCCTTGGAAATCCATGTAATACAAGCAAACATAACTTTGCCTCGATACTTGCTGTGGAAATAATATCAATATATGTCTTAAAAGGATTAAAGACTTCCTTATTCTCCCCAGTAACTTAAAATTACTGTGAATTGCTTGTTCTGGTTGTCTTCCTAGGTAAGTTTCCTCAGTGTGCAAGTCATTTTCAGCTATGAGTGAACTTTTTTTTTTTTTTTTTTTTTTGTTGTTGTTGCTTCTGTGTCTGTTTACACCATGCTGTCCAGTAATTCTGGTACTAAATAGAGTTCCCAGAAATTTGAATCTCTGTCTTGCCAAAGAAGATGAATAAGGGTTATGTTTTTCGAGTGGTTTATATCAAGTAGATTTTTGGTGCTTTCTTTTTGGAGATCTTTTTTTGGAATGTAGTTATTTGCATTTTACAAACAGGTATCATGAGGCACCATCTGCTTGTTGAGTTTACCTTGTTGAATGTCCAGAATAATTCTCTAACAGATGGGTAGTATTTTGAGGATGCCAAAGATCCACAAGGTGCCACGTAGTTGGGTCATTGCATAGGATCTTTATTTCTTTCCCTTTAAAACTTAATTCTGAAAGTGTCAACAGACATTATGCAAATGTGTATGAATGATTTTGACTTCTTTAATCAGGATTAATCTGCACTAGGAAAGGCTAGTTACAAGGATGTTTTGTACAGTTATAGTGTGGCTTGCGAAGGCTGATTAAGGCTCTGCTTAGTGCAGCACCCTTGTGATACACAGTTGGCTGCTTTATGCAGTTGTAGTTCCCTGTGACCTGCTTTGCTACTACAAATAAAATCAGTCAAGTGGATTTGATTCATGTTTGCATGTTGCTGTGAAAACAGAACTTGGTGCAGTTTACACTCCTGAACAGTCTGTTTTCTTTCATATATTTCGTATTACGTTACAGAAAGCAGAGCAAATTTTTAAGCTGCTAGTGAGAGATATTCGTTATATTGATACGTAAGCTATCTCTTACATCAAAGATAGGCTTGGATTAGTGCACAAACTTTTACTAACATTGTAAAAATAAAGATCAGATCCAGTCTGTTAGCTTTTCTTGGTTGCCAGGTCTCCTGATCTGGAGCCAAAGCTGACGCTACCTGCCAGCATTTTTTTTTTGCTGTTGAATCACACTGGGAGTGTTTAATGATGCTATCTCTGTATTTTTTGGTCTTCTTATTCCAGTGGATTTATACAGGTAACAAAACAGTGCATTTGTATGATGATTTGCTATGTCAAAGTGAAAACCAATAGAAGACAAATGTGAATGGTTGCCAGACTTCCGAAATAAGCATTTCTTTTGCATTTCTTATTTACACTATCTTTAGGATGGAAAGCAGTATAAAAAATTCTGAGGAAAAGTGAGGTCATGATTAATCACCTCATTTTAACTAGACTTAAATTACAGTAAAAATAGTGATAATGACATATAGTGTTTTTTATGTCTGCTTTTGTCCTTATTCTACAGACTGGGAAATAAACACTCATATCTACATTTTTTTTAGGACAAAAGTAGCTGTTGAACCCTCAACTTAAAACATTAGGCATGTATCTTCATGCATGCAGGCATATAATTATCTGTCACAGACCTGTCTGATTTTCTTTTCTGAAGTTAATCGCACAGGGGCTAAGTAAACCAGTCAACCCATGTTAAAACATTATCAGTGCTTAATTCATTGGCGCTTAAGGTAATATACAGTTCCTCTCTAAAGCTGCTTGAACATGAAGCTTAATAACACTAACAGGGAGAAAACTGTAACCAAAATCTCAGATAGCACAATAAGTATTTCCAACTTGAATAACAATTTCTTTCAACTTTTTTTATTTTTATTTTTTAATGACTGGAAACAATAGCAGTAGACTGATCATACTGTCACAGAAAGTACTTGTACTTCATTACTGACTCATTGTTTTTTCAAGCTATTTTCAACAATTTGTTGAAGTTCAGAGAATTTTCTTACGGGTAATATTGAGGGCGTAGAGTAGGAACACAGCCTAATAATATTTGCAAATAGTTGGAGGTGTGCTAATAATGTTTCAGTGTCATTGTTATTGGTCTTATTATTTGAGCATGAAAAAGAACAGGGATATGATTGAATAAAATGCAGCACAGAAAATATTTGTTCATAAAACAAGGCTTGGATCAGATGAGTGATGATTACTTTCATTTTTACTGCTTCTCCAGACAGAGAATTAGAAAAGCAGAGGGCTGTCCTGAGTGGAGCTTTGCATGAAAAAGCCTGAGCGCAGGGCTTGAAACACAACAAAACCAATTTCCAGTTCTCCCCCTGGTTAACCAGTTACCAGAATGACTGGGGGAAAAAATCTACTTGGAATGAAAATACCCTAAAGTTTTCTATGCTGTAGCATGTTTTCTATGGGTTATTCCTTCTTTCAGTGGGAAAAAAAAAAGAAAAAAAAAAGGAAAAAAAAAAAAAAAAAAAAAAAGGAGGAAAGAAAATAGGCTCTGCTCTTTTTCTTTTCCCCGCTGAAGAAAGTTGAACAAAAAACAACCATAAGAAAACAGGAAAAAAGTAGGGAAATTTAAATTTAGTAATAAATGAAATATTTGTTTTCCAGTAGAAAAACACTTGTATGAAAGAAACTTTTGTTTTTCTTTGATTGTAAGAATAAATTTTGAAGAAGCTCTTCAGTCAGCTCCATCAATTTCTGCCAAAGAATCCACAAGGAAGAAAGCTGTAGTCTTCAAGGAAATGTCTCAAAGTCTGTTGTCCTTTTCCAGCATACAGCTTAAGGTTTAGGAGAGAAGCATTTTGCATGTCTGTAGGGTAGTAAATATTATTCATCATTAAAAGATTAGTTGTGTAGATGAGAAGTTGGGTATTGGATTGTATGACTGGAGAAAATATGAATGGCCTTGAATATTTTGTAGTGTTTTGTATAATCAGGATGTTATGTTGCATTGCTTCGATCCGTTTTCCTGACATGAGAGCTGCAACAACTCCTTGAATTTCTGACCAAGAAAACCCACAATTTTTCTTCTTCTTTTCCTTTTTCTCCTTTTTTTCCTTTTCCTTTTCCTTTTCCTTTCTCTTTTTAAATTATTTTTAATTTTTAAAATATAGAGTTCATTCATATCCTTAACATTAACCTGAAATTACAGGTAGCCTATTTATTTTTTTTTAATCCAGCATTCAAGAATACATTGCTTTTTAAACTATAAATGTGATGAATGTGATACATTTTGAAATTGAATAGTTGGTCATGTTAAACGCAAACTGTCTATTCCTGTCACTTAACTGCAGACAATTTATTGAAGGACCAGCTTGCCTAAGGCATCCTTTGTATTAAAAAGAAGAAAAGATGTGCACTTCTATGGCAGCTCAGTTTTCAAGCATTTTTATCATTTGTCGGAGTTTAAGGAAAAATTCATAATCCTTTTGTTTCATAAGTTTAGCACATGAGCTTGATGGGATGCTTCCAAACTCAGCACTTAATTTACTTTCTTCTTTCCCCAGACCTTCTTCTATCATCCTCATATGTATACATTGGATTACTATATGAAAAAGAATATTTTTCCTCAAGATTACTTTACCTGTGAGTTTGCTGGACTGCATTTTTTTCCACCAAGTGACTTACTTTGTAGCAAAGTGTTGGCTCAACATTTGCTTTTAATGAGCCATAACTCACAGCTATTTGATTAAATGCTATTTTTGCAGGGTGGCAGTAGAAGTACTGAGAAGCCAGAGTGAAAAGGCTCTTGTTCCCAAAATTTAACAGTTAAAGTTCCACCTCTGATTTTTGATTGAATATTGATTTAGCTGATAAAATATGATATTCTTTTTTTTTTTTTTCTTCTGTGAGGTCTCCTTGTGATTTCCATTCTGAATTTAGCCGTAACAGAAACTTTGGCTAAAGATAATGGTTATTTCATCAGTAGGGGGCATTCTTGTATTTCCAGGAAAGAAATACGTCTCTGTTATTCAGCTATGTTGAATAACATGCACACAGCAGCTGCACAGAAAGACTTGAGAATAGAAATAGCAACTGTTAACTGAAGGATAGAATTGCTTAACTGTATTTTCTGAAAGTCAGGTGAGATATCCATATTCCACTTCTATTGAATTATAGAAGTAAATTGAAAAATAATAGAGGTAATTATGTCCCTTTCTCTGTACTGAATTTTAAAGGGAAACATTAATTTGGGGATGTTTAGTACTCTTGTTCATTCTGGTC